CCTGCCCTCCTGCCTCTTGGGGGAACTGAGCTTCAGAGAAAAAAAAAAATGATGAGGGGTGGCAGGGATAAGAAGTAACCTCCATTCTCTACCTGCCTTGCAGCGTGTACGCTATTTCTCCCTGCCCCCGGGCTCCCGAATTTAAAGATGTGAACCAAGGCCTGAGGGCACTGCAGGGGCAAGGAGAGCCCTGGGGCCAACCACACACTCGGGAAGGGGAGTGTTTGGAAATGAAGGACCAGCTCCTATGTATCAGGTTAAGAGCCAGGACAGCAGTTTGCAAACCAGAGTGGTATTCGGCAGAAGCAGAGATTCCTGGGCCCCATCTTCCATTTCTTATGTAAGAAGGGCACTTCGCCACCGCCCCGGCAGGTGAGGGGTGACAGAACCACGCTGGTGGTCTGAACCAGGCTGGCTGAGCCCAGCCTTCTGCTCTCAAGGCTTTCCCGAGACCCAGAGTTTGTGGGAGAAGGGCGGGGGGCTCATGGGCAGAAAGCAGGCGAGCCCTGGGTAGGAACGCTTGGTGCTGTTCCCTTCAGCCTTCAAGACCAACTGCTCATCTTGTTCCTCAGCTCCTGACTCAGAGGCTTGAGGGTCTGCCAACTGCACTGTGGCTACAGGTGGAGGGAAGCGGACTCCCTCCTCCAGGGCCCTTTGTTTCTGGAAGAAGGTTCTTTAACCCCGTATGGTCCAACAGTCGTTTGCAGGAGGCCCTTTAAGGAGGGAACAAGTCAGTTACCAGCCCTAGTAGGGTTCCTTCCCACCTTCCCAAGATGGGAGAAGCCTAGGGAGGAGGATCAGTCTTAAGATGCGTTGCATGGCTGGCGCTGGAGTGAAAACAAAACCGGGCATCGAACATTCACTAATTAAAGACTAAAGTCCAGGACACACACATGTGAAGGATTAAGAGCCCCACTTCCTTACTCTGAAAAAATGGGTGGGGGATGAAATCGCCAAACCTTTCCTCTGACTCTTATCAAATCAGGAGAGGGCAGGAGAGGGTAGCTCAGGATGAGGGAATGGGGGATGGGTTATCGTAGGGGAAGGAAAAGGAAGGCAGGAATAGTTATAAATCGTCAGCTAATGAGAAATGTAAAAAGCTGACTCTTTAGGACGAAATCATGACCAGAGCTGAGGATGTTTCCTTGAGGACTAACTCCTCAGGTGTTAAAACATGCAGCATCACTCTGGGGTGGGGAGGTCAGCAGTGCCAACCTGTGGTGTGCCCTCAGCCAGGGGCTCGGGGGAGGAGAAGTTATACTGGCCACTGGCTCCAACCTGTGGTCAGTGTTGCTGCTTTCCCTGAAGATCTGGCCGAGCACCATTGCCTTTCTCTCCTAGCCCCCCTGGGGAAGAGGGACTATATTTTTACTGTACCCTAGGGGTTCTGGAAGGGAAAACTTGGGGTTAGGATCCTATGGCCTGAGAAGCCCCATCCGTAAGGGCCACAGCTGGGGAGAGGTATGGGGCAGGAGAGGGGTTGGGATTTTAGGGTGCAGCTATGCTCATGAGGTACCAGAGTCAGCCTCTCACCCCTAAACTTCTCCAGTCCCGGACGCAGCCTGGGACCTGGCCTTAGACTGTTGAGCAGGTGCGCCTGCCTGTTGGCTGCACCTTTGCACCTGTTGTCTTGAGGCGCCGCACGGCCCCAGGCTCTCCACCTGCTCCTGAGCCCCAGCATCTCCCTGTGACGGGTAAACTTTGTGTGCTGTGTCTCGGGTCCAGGATATGAATTGTGAGCAGGGTTCATCTATTTTAAACACAGATGTTTACAAAATAAAGAATATTTCAAGTCACAGGTGTGACTGCCTGTGTGAATCCCCGGGAGTAGATCTCATTGGGACCCTGGCAGTTCAGGGGGAGGGAGAGAGGCAGTGCTGGTAGAAGAGGTTCCAGAATCCTAAAGCAACAGCAGAAGAATGACAATGGAAACAGCAAACGTCTTCTGTTTGGTGCCTTTCCTAATGCCACCTGCAGGGGAGCGCCAAGCAAAGCCCCCATTGCTCGGCAGTGGGCTCCCATTGTGGAAATAAGATTGAGTAGAATCATTGGGGACATGCTGAATATCTATGTCTGAGGGTGTCTTTAAAACCAAGAGGGGGGGCTTCCCTGGTGGCGCAGTGGTTGAGAATCTGCCTGCCAATGCAGGGGACACGGGTTCGAGCCCTGGTCTGGGAAGATCCCACATGCCACGGAGAAACTGGGCCCGTGAGCCACAATTACTGAGCCTGCGCGTCTGGAGCCTGTGCTCCGCAACAAGAGAGGCTGTGATAGTGAGAGGCCCGCGCACCGCGATGAAGAGTGGGCCCCGCTTGCCACAAGTAGAGAAAGCCCTCGCACAGAAACGAAGCCCCAACACAGCAAAAATAAATTATTAATTAATTTTTTAAAAAACCCAAAAAACCAAGAGGGTTCTCATCTGCTTGGAATGTAACAGAAACAGGTCTTCCTGAAGGCATGAGGTGGGATTAAGTAATCTTTCAGAAGTTCATCCTAGCCCTGTGCTTGGATACCCCAAGGGAACAAGGCAGTCTAGAATCTTGGGGTCTGGGGACTGTTGAATACTATACTCTGGGGTCCGGAGTTGATGGAAAAGGCAGAGAATGTTTGGAGGTAAAGATAAAATGAAGAAGGAAGGAGTAAAACAAGGCAGGGCAACGGTAGCCTAAGATCTTAACCTGTATTTTCCAATTTACACAGAACTTGTAATGCTTTATCTCCTTTATCGGAACAATGAGACAATCACGGCTGCGTGAGATAAGGAAGGTGATTATCTTTATCCAAGTTCGACAGATAAGGAAACAGGTGCCTAGGGGCCCCAAGGAAGAGTGGCAGAGTCAAGGCTTAAAAGGAACAACCGGAATTGAAATCTCCAGAGGGGAAAGCTTGGCATCTCTATTTAGAAAAATCGCTACATGCAATTCTCACTGCAGCCAGAATTGAGAACCATCGACCTAGGCTTTCTGCCTACTAAGCCAGTGAAGTTTCCCGAACATCTACTGTCCCTGTGGAAAGCCATGTTAGTGCATGTCCAGAGTTACAAGCTTCTGGAAAGTAGGCCAGTTTGAGGTAAATCTGGAAACAAAGAGGTATTTTAGGAGAGCTTCATCAATTGTATTCAATCGTGAAAGGTGAGAACCTGGGTGACTCAAGGTGTCCTAGGTTGCCCCTGGAGAAAAGGGATGTCTTGTACCTAAGGAAGACAGCACCTCCACTCCTCAGCTCGGCGACTTCCATGGTCTTCCTGGAGAGGAGTCCCAGAAGGGCAGCCAGTAAGCATCTGGAAGCCCAGAGAGTACTAGGGAAGTGTTAGGCATGCAGGTGAATCTGGCAAGTTCATGTTAACAGTTTAGCCCATTATCAGGGCGAAGTTCTTGACTCAGTGGCTTAGGAGGCGTTTATTTGCTTTTTCTAGCAACTCTACCCAGCCTCAGCAGGGGACACACTTCTCTCTGCGTTTCCTGCCACCTCTTCTAGTGGCAAAAGATTCCATTCCCACTTAGGTAATGGAAGCTTTTTTGTAGGGAGCAACCAGTTAAGATGTATGGATTCCCGTGTTGCTATAAACAGCCATGAACAGGCTACAGAAAAGAACACCTGGGTACTTCCTGGAAAGTACTTCCTCCATCTTCTCAACAAGTCAGATTCTCAAGACCAGCTGCTCCCCAACCTGGCTTATTCTTTGTTCTAGGAGACCATTCCCAATGGACACATACCTGTGAAAACACTCTCTAGTAAACAACTGCATTGTTATTGAAATTTCTCTCTAAAATCCCAAAGCCAGGTAAAGCCTAATTGCCAGCTTTAATGATGGAGAAATCCAGGCATTAAAAACAAAAAACAAAAAAACAAAATAACAAACCCTGATTTCTTGCATTGGTGGGTGTTTGGAAGAATGAAGTGAAGCATTAGGTCTTCTTAGTTTCTGTGGGCTTCCAGCGCTGTGCTCCCATGATAGCTCTTAGCAGGTCCCCCGATGTCCGGCAACACATTGCATGCTGGTGTTGAAAACGTCGTGAGTGGCCTAGGTGGGTCTAGAACCATAGCAGCTTCGACTGCCTGCACACTTCCTTCTGTGGGGAATGACCAGCACAAGCCCCTCTGAGAAGTCTTTTGGACTGAGTCTTTGTCTGATAAGAGGTAGGGGCATCCATCCCCTCTGAGTTTACCCACCTGCTCTGTGACTCCTCTCTGTTATCCCAGCCACAACCAACTGCATCCTCATGACCCTGTGGAGGTGGGGTGTGGTGTATTAGAGGAGATGGTACAGCACAGGGGCAAGGGCAGATGTGCTCTCCAGGACAAGTACCATCACTCACTGAGAGACTTTTCAAGACAAACACAGCCTCCCCTCTTCAGACTGGTGCAAGCTGAGGCACTGAAAGCCATTATTTTAGAAAACCACACACCATCCTCCTAATGGTCCCTTTGATTTTGTGCTTGTGGAAAGTCAGCCAAAGAGAGAAATGTGAACAGTAACATGAATATTCCATTTGTAGTCTGAGTCAAGGGGACATGCGCCCAATCCTCTTCCTCATCCTTCAGCCCTCGGCAGACCCTGACCTCTCAATTGCACAATTCAGAGCTCGGCACTCAGCAGGCGCTCAATAACTGTCTGTGCCAAGTGCAAACAATATGCTAGGGCAAGTAGGAGTCAATCTTGCATCCCTCCCTGCCTTTTTTCCTCCCCGTCCAACCTTTGGGGCTCTGGTTTCCTGCAAGCAGTGAATTATTCATGTTTGCTCAGAGATATCACATTGGCCCTTCCTAGGTTGCCAACAGGGTGGAGCAGGGAGGTGGCTTTGTTCAGAGTCTGTAAATAGGAGGAGCGACCTTCCTGTTCAAACAGCACTTACAGGTAGGTGACTTTTTGCTAAGTCATCCTGGGGATGTTCAAAGTCCCATTGTGAGATCCTTCCTGGCTCCTCCTTCCTCCCCACCCCTTTAATAGACCCTTAAGTGGGCTCACACTGCTCTGCCACTCACTCTGCACTCGCACCATGGCTTACGTTGCCAAGTCCTTCTATGACCTCAGTGCTATCAGCCTAGATGGGGAGAAGGTAGATTTCAATACATTCAGAGGCAGGGCAGTGCTGATTGAGAACGTGGCCTCGCTCTGAGGCACAACCAGCCGGGACTTCACCCAACTCAACGAGCTGCAATGCCGCTTTCCCAGGCGCCTGGTGGTTCTTGGCTTCCCTTGCAACCAATTTGGACATCAGGTGAGACGTCCCTGGTATTGTACCCAAGGAGTTGGGTTGCTGCAGCTCCAGTGGGCTAAAGAGAGGGGGAGGACAACTATGTGTGTTGAGTGTCTTGAAGCATGGGGTATGTTTTGTGAATCTAGGTCTTTAGGTGCATGTGAGTACCAGGGGGAAGTCAGTATGATTCTGTCTGTGATAGAACACCAAACGTATGGATTTTTATGGTTTCTTGTCTTCCCACTATACTCCATGAGGGCTGGTACCAGGTCTGTTTTTCTCTCCATTGTGTCCTCAGTGCCTGGGTATAGAAGGCACTCATTAAATGTTTGTTGAATGAATGACTGGAGGAAATAGAAGATCAAGAATCAAACTAGGATTGAACTGACTCATGAGACCTTCATTTTCACTACATTTGATTCTGCTACCTAATAGCTCTGTGTCCCAGGAAGAGTCACTCAATTTTTCTGTTTTGGTTTCCTCTTCTATAAACTAGGGATAATACCACTTATCTGATAGGATTATTGTGAGGTTGTGGGGATAAGAGCTACAAAAGTAACTTGAAAAGTATAGAGTAATATGCAAATGTAAGCAACTTTACTATTTAGATTGAAAGGTTTTGTTTGTTTGTTTAAAATCAGCCAAGTGGAGAGTGAATTGGGGGGAAGGTAAAAGGGTTTGCAAAGTGTACGGGTCTCCTCTGGGCATCACACGTGCCTCTCTATCCCTGATTAATGGGTCAAGTTGTTATAGATCTTCAGCCCGCACACCTCAAGTTATCTTTTAGGGATTCTTATATTTTCACTTAGGATTTTTTTTTTTTTAATTTTTTGCGGTACGCTGGCCTCTCACTGTTTTGGCCTCTCCCGTTGCGGAGCACAGGCTCCGGACGCGCAGGCTCAGCGGCCATGGCTCACGGGCCCAGCCGCTTCGCGGCATGTGGGATCTTCCCGGACCGGGGCACGAACCC